AGAATGCGATGAAGATTTAAGACACAATTTGCGCGTTAAAATAGCGTGAAGTTGGGACGTTCTAAAACTTCTTGAAGTTTAAAGTCGTTTTTCAAAAAGTTTCAAATGTCTCAAGCAGCTTTGAATTTTACATCATTTTCATCTCAAAGAAGCGAGAATTGCAACGAACTCAAAGCAAAGCCCGCTAAAAGATTTCGATCTGAAATAATGGACATTTTTGGTGCATTTAAAGCGGTTCTTAAGCGTTTAAAATGTTTAACCAACGACTTCTTTCTTATGATAGATCCAAACAAATGTATGCACATTCTGGAGCTTCTTGGCTCGGAAATTATTCATTAAGCTCAAAAAACACGCGTGAGAAATTTACTTTTTTGACCGACATTTTCATGAGGGGTGAATGTTGATTTTTCAAAAAAATTACAAACTCTCAAGGACGCGAGAAATTCTAACTCATTTTAAAGCACAGTGAAAACTTAAAATCCGAAATAATCAACATTTTTCACAAATTTAAAGCGTTTTTTGAACGTTTACGACGAACTTAATGCACGTTACGCGCAAAGTATTCATTAAGCTCGAAAAACGCGCGTGTGAAATTTTGATTTTTGACCGAATATTTCATATGGCCGATTTTTCCAGAAAATATCAATTCTTTCAAAATGCTTTCAATTCCACGTCATTTTGAAGTAAAAGAAGCTATAAATGCAACCAACACATGGGAAACACTCTGGAAGCTTCAGAAGCGAAATAATCGGCATTTTAAGCATTTTTCTCATCTCTATCTAATTTTTTCCGTCTTTTCTCATATTACTCGTCAAATACTTCGCGCTCGAAAGCGATGAGGCCTTTGATAATGTCCACCGCAGTTGTGGACGAAACGTTAGGAAGAAATTCCCATGGGCCACGGCTGCAAAGCCCGAAAAACATTTCTCTATGTGATTTGACCGGCCGTGAAAGCCTTCATAGTCTGATTTGTGGAAATGTTGTAAGATTTTAAATTGAAAAAAATCGCAAACTTTAACCAGTTTGCTTACAATATCGGCATAAATGTACATTTCGATTATTTTTTATACCAATTAAAAGCGAGAACGATAGTGACGTAAAAATACATATCTGGGAGAAAAATTTGCAATTACATAAAATGTCTACCTCAAAATGAATCATAAAGTCACTAATGGAAATGCTGTTGCTTCTTCCGCAGAACCCCATAGATTAATGTATTTGACGCCCAATAGCAAAAACTCGCGAGCAAAACGCACGAAGACAAAAAGGGCGAAAATTTGAGATTTTTCCAAACTAAATAGGAATAGCGCCGTGTTGAAACAACAATCACAAAATCAAATTACTTAATAGAAGTGCGCAACTATGCGTTGTCAGCGAGTAATTTAAAGCCTGGACGAACGTATGGGACAGATGGAGGTGATCCAGAGAATTGGTTTCAATCAGGCATTATTGGATCAGGGGCTTAAAGGCTGGCTGTAAACAAGTTCCTGACAACAACGCAATAAGCCTTTGCTGTCCCCCAAACAATTACAAGCGCGGATTAAAAAGCACGTCACTTCCTTATGGAACTGACTCCCTTAAGAATTTGATCTAATTTATTTAACGCCGGTGAAAGCATTAAAACTTACTGCCTATCATTTTTATCGTCATTGTTAGAAAGGCTCAAACTGTCTGCCCGTTTTGCTCTCGTAAACTGAGCAATAAAACTAAAAGTTTTACGACTATAAAAGAATAAATTCTTAGTGCAAATGACTTCTTGTAGGCAAACTTAATTAAAATGCCTGTTATTTTTCGCGCAGAGTTGCTAGGTAGTTTTTCGCAAATAACGAGGAACTCATCGATAAAAGAAACGCTCTGATATACATTTAATTTCAGCGTTGATGGTTTTTTATTCTTTTTGGGGCAACCATTCGGGTATTAAAAATATAATGAAAACACTGCCTTAAATCCATATCCGAATCTTGCGTTTATTTATGCGACGTAGAATATACATCGGTGAGTTTGCAAGTGTCTTTAAACAGAAGCAGAGGATTATCTAATAATCTGCCCAGCTCATCAATTCGCTTCTCATATTCGTCATCCACCACTTCAATAATATGATGCGCTTGCCACATTTGCATCGGCTCCAGTCGAATATCGGTACTTAAATGACCATTTCCCACCTGCAAAAGGGAATTTGCACGGAAAAGTTTTCCAATAGTAAAACACGCACTCCCAGACAGTGCAAATACTCATCAGCGCTAATGTTTTGATCTTCGCTGTTCAAACTGTTACCTTCCCATGGGTTGCAAATAAGAACGTCTGTTGAGGTTGCATCAGTCGTTTTTAGTCGTAATTTCAGTCCATGGGCGTCAATGTTTCTCAATTCGATTTCGGAAGGAGTTTCGAGAAATAACTACAAATCTTTGGCATTTTATGTACCATTTTATAGAGAGTGTTTTGGGGCAGACGGTGGAATTGATGTTTAGAAAAGACGCATTTAAAATTTTAAAATTGTTGAATTAAAAGGAGTTGTTAAGTACGAAGCATTAATTTGGTATCAACTGAAACCTCCTTAGTTTCCCATTTTCCATTAAAACATTAATTTATGGTAACAAAGTCACCATCTACGAAAGCCTCGCAGTTTATTACATTTGTAAAGCTTACATAAGTATACATTTTTTAAATCTTGCATTAATATTTTACTAAATAAGCTTAACTTTTGCATAAAACGTTCAATCTTTGTGCATTAAATTCGAATAAAGTTTCACGCCTTATAGCTATAATACCGCTAATTTGGGTATTTTGGCTCAATATTTAGGAATGTTGAAAAGCACGAATTTTATCGCCTTCTTTACTACGAATTGAAGTGAATTTGTTCTGAATATAAAACCGAGCAACAAAGTGTTTGCAATTTTTTAATAATGAATGAGAGAATGAGTGCGTTTTTTTTATCAAAACTGAATTACCTGAAAATTGTTGTTTTTTATTTGGTACAAAATCTTTACGGTTTTAAAGGTAAAGTTTCGAAATTACGTAAGCTGGATTTATCAACTCAGGTTAGACGTAAGTTTAAATAATTGTTTATAGAGAAGTATTTGACGAGTAATATGAGAAAAGACGAAAAAAATTACATTAGAGATGAGAAAAATGCTTAAAATGCCGATTATTTCGCGTCTGAAGCTTCCAGAGTGTTTCCCATGTGTTGGTTGCATTTATCCCTTCTTTTTACTTCAAAATGATGTGGAATTCAAAGCATTTTGAAATAATTCATATTTTCTGAAAAAATCGACCATATGAAATGTTGGGTCAAAAATCAAAATTTCACATGCGCGTTTTTCGAGCTTAATGAATACTTTGCGCGTAACGTGCATTAAGTCCGTCGTAAACGTTCAAAAAACGCTTTAAATTTGTGGAAAATGTCGATTATTTCCGATTTTAAGTTTCTACTGTGTTTTAAAATGAGCTCGAATTTCTCGCGTCCTTGAGTTTTTAAATTTTTTGAAAAATCAACGTTCACCCCTCATGAAAATGTCGGTCAAAAATGTAAATTTCTTACGCGTGTTTTTTGAGCTTAATGAATAATTTCCGAGCCAAGAAGCTCCAGAATGTGCATACATGTGTCTGGGTCTATCATAAGGAAGAAATCGTTGGTTAAAGATTTTAAATGCTTAAAAACCGCTTTAAATGCACCAAAAATGTCGATCGAAATCTTTTAGCGCGCTTTGCTTTGAGTTCGTTGCAATTCTCGCTTCTTTGAGATGAAAATGATGTAGAATTCGAAGCTGTTTGAGACATTTTAAACTTTTTGAAAACCGACTTTAAACCTCGAGAAGTTTTAGAACGTCCCATGAAAAAATCACACATTTTCTTTGAGTTGGATATTTTTTTTAAAAATTGATCGAATAGCAGTTTGTGAATGATTTTGTGCGATTATTGTGGCACTAAAATTGAAATTATCGCAAACCATCTCTCAATTCCCATTTAATCTCCGATGCTGCTAATTTATATTACGCGATTACGCCAAGATTTCTAAGCTCTAAAACCGACTTAACTTAACTAATTTAAACTCTCAATTCAATTAAAATTTGCCAAATTCAATCGTATTTTAAAGTGCTTGTGTTCTAAGCCTGAGAAAGTGCACGAGTTTGCTAATCCTATTATCACTATAACTTCTTTAAATAAATACGGAAACCGTTTGCTTCCATACATACACACAAACATAGGAACAAATCAGAGAGCTTCCACTCCTAAGCTTTGCATAGCTTATTGCTTGGTTATGAACAGCTATTTATACAAACAGGTTTTGTGAAAAGAACTATTTTAAATGATGTGTGCATAGTTTGCTGAGTCTTTGGGGCTCTTAAAAAGTTTTCCCAAATAACTTTTTCTTTGTTATTGGTGTTTTGTGATTGTGATTGTGATCGTACACTTACATCCAAGTACGGTCGTCGAATAACAAGTTTTTCCATATCAGGTTCAGGATCCAATGTGGTAGTCATATTTTCGTTTAACCGCACATATTTGCAGCCAGATAGTCCATAAATCTCGCACTTCCTAACGTCCTCCACTTTAAAAATCGAATGCCTCAAAATCGTGAACCGGAATGGAAAATATTTGCTGGTATTTGCTACTTTAACGGACACACGCAGTTCGCTAATGCAAAGCGTCAACTGAAACAATAACTCAGAAATTAAACCAGTTTGCACTTGATTAAAGGAAACAATAAACAGGGTCGAACAACCAAATTAAGTCAATATTTACTCCAATGCTAGTGTGTGTGTATCTATCTACTACCTATTTTTAAGCGAAAATTTTCCATTGCCACCCTGTATTCTTCCTGGATTGCTATTTGTTTCACATTAAAAATGTAGGTAAATTTCAAAACTGTTCTACACATTCAATACACATTGACAATTTTGAAACCGCTTTGGTCGCCGTTTGCATTACATAAAGAACCTTTAAATAGCTTTGTCAAAAACCCATATAAAACCCGGTTTTTCCTATTTTCCACAATATAGAATAGATTGTAAGCAAGAACATAGAAGACAGACACAGACCATTTAGTATGCAGATCATTATTCTGGAGATATTCGCATGAATGCTTTTGCTAAATTCAATCCTTCCAATCTGTCGGCATAAGGAACGAAGAAAACTGGAAATACATAATTTGTTTTGCGTGTTCTTCTAAGGAAATTGAAAGGCGACGTGATGCAATTTCATTTTATTCTTAGGAAAACATTGTAAGTTAAGTGTTTTGTTATATTTTACGTTTTCGAGCTATCAATTTTACTCTTTTTGGGGGGCGCGCAATCATTGTTTGTTCCCTTTTGTACTTTAATGTCGTTTCCAGGCTCCGAAAATTGTCTGGAATTGTACGAAGCTGTGCCGATATTATAAGCATCCATAGCAAACTATCTGATCCGAGTCTGATTAGCATTCAACAAAAAAAACAAAGGAATAGTAAATGTTTAAGCATTACATACGCAGCACGCGAGGTTATTCAAAACATGACTTGGGAAATTGAAATGGAACAAGCATCTTTTCCAAATAAATTAACTGTTTATATGAAAAAACATTAAGCCAATTTATAAAAATATACTCACTCTAACGCTGATTTTAAATTTATAATTCCAAATCGCTTTGGTATATTCAGATTCCACTAGCGTGAAAACTGCCTCTACATTTCCATCTTTCCTCACTGTTGGTCCCTGCTCCAGATTCCATGGAACATACCTCGCAAACCCGTGCTTTGGACCATAAGACTGCGCACCAAAATATGGAAATGTGAACTTTATGCCTCCACTACAATAAATAATTTAGCGCAAAAATCAGTGCAATTTGCCAGCATAACTTGTGTGGATATGATGGTCATTTTGGTTGCAGCCAACAACTTTGGCTAGAGAAAAATCAATCTATAGCAGGCCAAAATAAACTAATCGGCGTTCGGAATAACAAAACTGTTTGTGTTGCAAACAAGTAATTAACTTTGTTGACTGTTCGGGTTTTTCATTTAAATTCAGTTTGCTGGAATACGTTTGTCACTTGGGCAAATTAAATAACTTGTTCGAACTTTGCTAGTTTAAACAGGGTTTTAAATAATCCTTTTTCAAAACTACATTATGTAGTTTTGGTGAACGGTTCAACTTTAATTAAGCTAATTTGCGATATAAAATTAGATTTTGAATTTTATAATGTTTGCTTTTGTGTCTTAAGTAAGCGCTTTGAGCACGAAATGTTTTTGTTGATTTTCATTTCGCATTAAACATTAATATTCGGTACTAGAAATTATATTAAAATAGAAACTTGTAGTTTTTACCTGATTGGGGCAAAATGATTAAAAGCAGTTTTCTTCCTCATGTAAAGAATCTCCTTATTTTTAACTCTATAGGACAAGATAGTTCCTCCATGTAAATGCACAGAACAAGTTGTGTAATTTCCTCTATCCAAAACGACAATATTTTTCGTAACTTTTGACATTTTTCTCAAATATCCACCAGTCGGTTTAGGCAAACTTCAATAATACATTATATCCTATACAGGAAATGCAAAAAACAATAAAATAATTTGTTAGGGTTAAATTTGAGGAAGAATACGATCGATGCAAAATTCAATAATTTTAGAGAACGCCATGCACCGTCATAAATCAATAATAATCCATCTCCCCTGGCAACCCCACGGATGTCCTGTGTTGTTGCCCGGAAGTACCGCCGCGCCGTCTCCTATCACAGCCATGAAGTAGGCGCGATGTTGCCACTCCCGTCCTGGGTGTGTCCCACCTACCAGCGTTGCCGCTCTCGCCGTGTTTGCTCCGTTTTCCCAGGTTGCTTACAAATTATCCGTTTAGAAAATTTAAATTCCTGTGTATTTTTTGCAACTTTTTTCTGCATCAGAACTTCTAAAATGAAGGTAGATTTAATGAGCTGGCAGCCGAATGTAAATAGAAATCGTATTTTTTCCGTTGGATATTTGCTTCCTCGAGACTCATTTGAACAACTTTTAGTTCCCGCACATTTAAAATAATTTTCAAATATCTGTTTAAAAACGAATTAACTTTTTAGGATGGAATTCAGAAGAAAACAAAATTAACAAAAAATTATTAGAACAGCAATAAATATTTTCGACGCAACGACGACAAAACATGCAGAACCTTTTAAGGGAATTTTGCAATAAAATGTTGGGGTCTTGGGAAAGACAAAATTTTAAATTTTTATCGGTTGAGCCAGAAAAATTGTGCTTTTTATTTTTCTTTTGTTAACTTTTCAGTGAGATAAATGATATAGATTTATATGGCACCGAAATACCCCGTAAAAAAGACGCTTTTTGGTCAAACAAGAGAAAATTCAGTATTTCCAAAAAGCCTAAATCTTGAAGCAGAATGCTCAAATTAAAGAGGCCACAAAGAAGAAAAATAAATTAGAGACGATTATTATTAAACATTGCAAATGTCTTTTGACTCATGCCTTCTTTTGCCAATAAACACAAACCTAATCAGTCACAATTATGAATAATATACGAAGAGCGCTTCACAGCGCGCTTCTAGTTTAAAGTTTTACAGATAATCGAACTCCATTGTTTTACTTGAAACCGGACGCAAAATCAAATAAAAACACAGGAGACAGAACACTTTAAAATTATTGAGGGAATCGAATTTTCTGTTAAAAGTTGGCCAGTGGCGCACTATAATGAAAAGGAAATAGCCGAAAATGTGTTGAAATCTTTTGCGTTAAATGGTTCAAAGATTAATCGTATTTCTTCAACTACTGGCAAGAGGAATTTATCTGCATTTGAAAATTGGGGTCAATATCAAGAAGACAGTAAAGACAAAATCTAGAAATGTGACTATTTTATTTGGAAGACACAGTAGAAACTAACTGATGATTAACGAAAATTGTCTGAAACCATTGAACAATTCTCGCGTAATAGAAATAAATAACGAGGGCCAATATTGAAAAGAAACTTTCCCAAAGCTAACAGTTGCAGAAAAATACATTCTTATTGTAAAATCCCTGTTGTTTTTCTATTGACTTTGTTTTGTTGCGTTGACCGCTGCGCTTTCAACTGAAACTCCAGATTAAAAGCAAATAGAATACAAGCTGCAAACAGAATGGCTTGCATTAGCTGACGAAGACGCATTCCCGAGTTTTACTCGGTTTCAATTAGTTTGTCTCATAACAACACGATATTGGGGACACCTCGATTCATACAAGCAGGAACTTCTTTGTCGACAGTTACTGGCTGCCTCCAGCGATTTTCTTTGAAAGTTGGCAGCAATATGCACCAGTTCCTCTGAAAATATTGTTTTCAAACGAGACGATTTTTATTTGTTACATTGCCCGAGGGAATTTCCAGCAACATCAAACGTTGCTAAACGTTGCGACAGAGCGATCGAGACGGTTCAAGTTCGTGCAGTTGCTGCAATTACAATTCGTACTCCGTACGGTTCGGACAAGTTGTTTTCGATCCCTTTTTATGAAGCTGCAATAAATTCCATTCGGAGTTTTTGCGATGAAATTGTTTGACTCAGCACTGGAAAGCCACACGTAGTGCACTGACAAGAATGTTCATAAATTGCGAGCAATAAATAATTTCTCTTCTCGATACTCCGAACAACTGCAACCCAATCCAGGCCACCTTCCACGCTCATAAATCGGGGCATTCGCTATTCCTTGTGACATCCTGAGAACGTGATTCTCTTTATGTTCGTCTAGGTTTCCAGATTATATCGAGGTGAGGAGTTGAAGCAAATGGAACGGGAATTAGTTCCAACTATTGCTGTTTCGTTGTATTCCTACGGGACCTGAGAGGGAGTGAAATTTGCAATTTCTTCTAAAGTTTCTCAATGGTTTGTCAGATCAGTTGTTATTTTAATAATCGTGATTTTTATGGCAAATAAGTTGTTTACATTTTTTACTCAGGAAATATCAAAGTAAAATAGTCGCTCTTGAATGCAAAGTGCGAAAAGCAGAGTCTGTTTTATATGTGGTAAAAGGTTTGATTTGCAGCATCAACAGGCAATTCTCAGAAAATTTGCGCGTTTTGGATTCATCTTTCGTTTCAGAAGAGAAACTTTTGTTGCATGTATAAACTAAAATAAAGAATAAAACTTCCCCATAAAGAAAGACCTCAAATGAGTTTCTCTTCCAGAATATTGAATATGGAATTTGCTAAAAATAAGCCTCTATCATTCTATTTTCTAATTTGCTTTTGCCGAGTAAAGTATCCGATTTTCAGGAGACTAAAAGTAATAAAAATATTTAATATTTCCGTGTTTATCCAGTGCAACTGAATTATTAAAGGCGCGTCGTATTTTTTCATGCTTAAATCACATCCCTAGTCTATAGTGGATGGGGTGAAGCCAGGCATTATTCAATCTGTCTCATTAATTCAGAATTTATCTGCCGCTAACCGCAACAGCGTTTCGAGTCAAAACTCTTTTAGGATATAAGCAATAAAGAGCAAAGTTATTTTCCAAAAGGGAAATATAAAGACTGAACAGAAGTTTCGGTTGGCGAGAGCAAAACAGCGCGAGTTGACAAAAACATGTAAATGGCTTCCATTAATCTTACCGTACCGGAAGAAGGCACGACTTTCTTTTTAAACTAGTTGTCTGCATACAATCTATTTCCGGGTTTGCTTTGCAAATGGACGTTAAAAGTTTTTCAATTAAAACTGATTCCTGCTTCAGAATGCCATCGAATTGATGTATTTTTTTT